TAATTCCACTTAGAATATTCCTTCCTCCTACTTCAAAACCATTATTCAATTATGCCTCTTATACCACACTTCTTAAACTCTTCCTTCATCGAAACATCTATTATATAATAAAATACAATTTCTTTTAAGCTTTTACAAGACTTTATGAATTCTAAAAGACTTATATAATGATTCAAATCTGGTATAGAAACTCCAATGATAAGCGTTTCTAATTTAACCAAATGTTTGCAATTGTTTAAAAATTTGTCGAAACTTTCTGAAGTGAAATAATATTTTCTTAATTCTAGACATTTTAAAGTAGCTGGTAAACTTTGACCTAATTCACATGAAAGAGGTTCAGTATAAAATGATATCATAGTCAAATGTTGAAGAGAAGATTGACTAAGAAATGGTAATAAGAATTCATTTCCATCTCTAACATTGACATGCAAAGATTTAAGGTTTAAACAACGGTTTATCAAGAGATTTGATAATTCACGTGTTTTAATCTGATTTAAATATAATCTTTTTAAAGTTGAACCCCACATCTCAACCAAAAAATTTATAATATGCGAATCAAAATTTCTACTTAGAAGTTTGAGTCCTCTCAAATTATTTAATGGTTCATTTAACAATGAAGTACAATGTTCCAATGTTATCTCTTTACAATTTACAAATTCTAACCATCTCAGATTTCTACATTGTGTGAGTACCTTTAAATCAAAAGGTGATATCGTTGAAAAGTCTGTTTAAAGAATTTAAGATATTTTAAAAAAGGTTTCTGGTCCAAGGTTGTAATTAGATATTTTAAAAAAGGTTTCTGGTCCAAGGTTGTAATTAACTTTTCAGTGTTTCCTACTGCTTGACCGATATAGAGAGTTTTTAACTTCTTTTGAGCTTTAATTATGTTTGAACAAGTTGTAATTAATTCTTCACTTGGATTAATAGAACTGAATGTGAAATAAATTTTTCTAAGGTTGGTACATATCGTAGTTAAATCCTTTAAAAATTCTAATGCGATTGAAGTAGTAAAATTATTATAAGTATAAAAACTACATTCTAATCTAACTAATTGAGATAATCCAGGTTTATAATTTGCAAACAATGCAGTTGATGGAAAACATAAAAGTTCATTAGAATCAGAAATCACTATTCCTTTGAGATTCTTATTTGTTCGTACAAACATAGAGACTAAAGAACGTGTAACTGCTTGAGCATTATGTAGAGAAACACAATAATCATTATAACGTTGCCACCATAATACTCCATTTTTTAGATGTGTAATTTTAAGAAGTGTGGTATAAGAGGCATAATTGAATAATGGTTTTGAAGTAGGAGGAAGGAATATTCTAAGTGGAATTA